TAGTGAATCTGGCCAATTGAGGGGCCCCAGGGCCCTACCACTAACAGAGTCCCTTTACCCAGGCTCCTGGTCATACCCGACCAGAGAACAGCAAAAGAGAGCATGAGCAGATCGGTTCTGGAAGTAGAAGGCGCTTGAAGCAGACTGGGATCTGGAAATCCCACAAACATGCCCTCAACGACTGTCGTGTAACGGCGATGTTGGGCATCTGCTTTTTGCGACGTCGAACTCGCGCAGAGCGGATTGTGGGAGAACGCGAACAGCGCTTTCCTACAATCGAGTTGGCCACGAACCACCCCCACCTACAGTACCGAAACCTGCATCGCCCTTCCCTGCATCGCCGCCGGCGTGTCTGCGGTCCACGCTCAGCGCGGCGCCACGCGGAGCCTCCTCATGCGGACTGCTCCTGGTGCCGCATGCACTTGATGGGGTGGGCCAGCAAGATGGAGTGATCCTGGACCTCGTCCAGGCAGCGAGCTCCGCCTCCGAGCGAGCGGGCGTTCGTCCGCAGCTGGCCCGCGTGCCGCAGGCTCGTCCAGGAGAGGCCCCACCGGTCGACCACGTACGGGAACCACAGCTCGTGATGGTTCGTGGTGCTCGAGTCCTGTCGGAAGCCGGGGAAGGGCTGCTAAATCCGTGGCTGCTAAAATCAACCTCCGGGAAGTTGTCTTCGTCCTTCCGGGAAGAAGCCCGCTGACTGTTTCGCGTGCTGCGCCTCATTCCGGGAAGTTGTTTTTTCCTTCCGGGAGGGCCGTTTTAGCAGCCATGGTTTTAGCAGCCCTCGCCCAGCTTCCGATCCTGGATGGTCTGGAGCACGGACCTAGCGAAGCGCTTGCTCATGCGGAACGCAGAAGGGTTACAGTACACGAAGCGACCCCTGGCGATCATGCTTGGGTCTCCGATGCGCCAGTTCCCCGAAGCCCATGAGGGCAGCCTCGAGGAGTCTTTGATGATCAAGTCCGAACTGGTCGACTGCCACTCCGAGATGATCGTGTCCAACCCAGGGGCCCACACGTCATCCTCCAGGTGCCACAGGTGACTGTAGCGGGAGGCGTTGAACCAGTCCATGATTCCCAGCTTTGCCGGGTTCGTCTGGTAGACGCCCAAGTAATTGGAAATCTTCTCGCCGTGCTTCAGGAGCAACGCGCGGTATGACATCTGCACAATCTGGGGCTCATACTTTGCCCCTTCGAGCGCGACGTTCAGCATCGCCAGCTGTGCTGGTGGAATGGTCCGCTGGTCGCTCACGTCGTACCCCACTACGATCGGATAGGGAGACACTTTAGCCAACTTGCTGAGGAGCGCAACCTTGTAGTCCACCAAGTCGTGACACGGGACGAACACCGCAGTGTTGTACGCTGTCGTCACCAGTGTCGTCACACGCGACGCCTCTGCCAAGCGCACCATGCCAGGCGATGACTGGCGGAGCTGCAAGTTCACCACAACTGGCGCCGCAATCACCAACTCCTCGGCGTCGCCTGTCACAGGGCTCGAAGGGGTCACGGTGAACCCATCCGTTGGCGTACAAGAGCACAGCACAGATATACCGAGAAGCGTAAAGACCCACGCATTCCGCCTACATTCGCGCATACTCATCTGGTAAGCAGACTGTGGCAAACATTATGGAGTACCCTGTCCTGGCATCCAGAGCCAGGCTTGAGCCACCAGGGCTACGGAGGAAGAACTGGAGGAGCAAAAGCAAGGAAAAGGACGAGGGGAGGCACGAGTTGCTAGGAATCCGCTCCTGGACCACCATCCGAATAAATCCCACCAACACTCTGGCCGTGGGTGTAATTTAACTTTTCTGGTTCACCTGCTCCCCTTTGGAGAAGGCTTTATCACAACACTTGCCCCCCTAGCCCGGCCATGCGAGGAATGTGTAGAATGTCTGTAGAAATGTGTTAATTGTCGATGTGAGATCTGTTAGAAGCCCCTCGTGGTCTCATGGGAGGCCGCTCTGGGACCTCTCGAATGCTTGTTGGGGGCCTCTCGAATGCCTCTTGCATCCCCTCTGAAACGTCTGGTGGGTCCTCTTGGGGCCTCTTTGGGCTTCTTGGGGCCGTCTTCCTTCAAATCACGGTTGACTTCAACGATGGCGTCACGGACTGGAAAGGATTCGGGGACCGTGGCCACCTTGGGGGGGCGGAGGTCGTTTTGGGGCCATCTTGGGGCCCTCTCGGGCCGCCTCGGGCCCGTCTTGGAGCCCCTCCTTTGGTTCTTTGGGCCCTTTGGGGGCGATGTTGGGGGTCTTTTGTGCCATGGGGCGAGCCAGCCACAAGCATGCCAAGAGAATCGGGAAGCCAATGATTCCTTGTTTTCCGGGGCCCCTCGGTCTGCCTTGGGAGCCCCTTGGACCGTGTAACCAACTTGTCTCGCCTTGCCTTCTCATGCCTGACCTTGCCTTTTCCTGTCTTGACATCGAAGTCGTCTTGGAACGCCTTGGGGGCTACGGTGACGGCATTCGATACGGAAGCCTTCGATGAGAAATCCGGGGTCTGGAAGCCAGTGGAAAGCCAATCGTGGATTGGCCATGGGTATCACCGCCGCCGTCATCAGATAAGGGGCCCTTCAGGGTCTGCAGCCGCCTGGGCACATTCCTTCACCAACGCCCCCACCGTATCTTGCGCCGTCTTGAGAGCCATCCCGCGCTGGTTGGCTTGGCGCGCGGCGACAAGAGTGGTAGGGTGCGTCTGAGCCCAATGCGACAACACGTGGCCCCCAGATGGCTTCAGGATGGGCCGAGCTGGACCAATGTGGAGTCCAACGTGCCTCCGAGGCCATGCGATGCCCCCCGGACAATTCCAATGGGCCACGGCGCCTCCTACTGATGCCCCCGAAGGGGCAAGATCATTCTAACACCACCGACACCTTGTCAATGCATTTAAACTTCACGGCCTTTCCCTAACGATTGGCTTTTGAAGTATGAGGCGTCCGCATGTCCTCCAGATCGCCCAAAGGAGCCCCAAGAGGGGCCCGGATCGGTCGTGGGACGATTCCACGGGCTCCGAAGAGCACCTGCGGAGGGCCGCGGGAGGGCCCCCGACGGGGGGACCTTGATTTGGGAACCCCCTTAATTTATCGATGCTCTTCAAGATGGCCCCCACAAGGGCCCCAAGAGCCTCGAAAAGAACCCCAGATGGGCCCCAACAGCCTCCTGAAGAGCCACAGAAGTGCTCCCAGAGGGCCCCGGGAGGCTCGTAAAGCGGACCCAAAGAAGCTAATGCCTGCGCGGTTAAACTCCTGATAGTTATGCTCCTCTCTGCTGTCTCGAAGAACGCATGAGTCAGCCATAACCAAGTGCTCCCGATAATAATCCCGGGGGGGGGGGGTAATAAAATTCGGGGGTCTGGCCATGATGATCAACTATTTCCCCGGCGATGGTGATGGCGGCGACGATGATGATCCTGGGCGCTCGCGTAGACTGACCTTGTAGATCTTGGCACAAGACTGTCTCGAGAGATCTCGAGTCTCGCGGCTACGACTTGCCTGCGCAAGAGAGGTCCTTGGCGCTCCTGGCCAAGCAACCTCCCTCGTGCACGACCTCGAACCACTCGCCCACGCAGGCTCAGCACCATTTGGGGCCGCCTTGCACGGGGGGCACTTGGCGCAGGCTTGGGCGGCAGCGCTGGCCTCCTCGAAGGCGGCGCGCTTCGGCTCGGCCGCCGCGGGGTCCTTCAAGGGATTGGACTTGGCCTTGCTCTTGTCCTTGGCCTTTGCCTTGGCCAAGTCGTTGCCGCTGGCCTCCTTCAGATTGTTGATCCGCTCGTTGCCTCGGGCGCACATCGCGCTGATGCTCGCGGGCGCTTGGCGGGCCCCGCCTCGGATCTCGCGCAGGGCGCGCTCGATCCAATGACTCGTCCGCGGGCCGCAGGGCCAGGCGTCGGCCTGGAACGTCTCGTTGCTCCTCGCAGGGCAGGTATCGCCAGGGCCAACGGCGCCGAGCTTGCGGGGGGGCCTCGCGGCGGCCTTAAGAGGCCACGCGCGAAACCTACCTGCGATTTCTGAAAAGGAGGGCGGGGTTAACTTCGCCCGGCAGCCCCCGAACAAAGTGAATCATACCTCCCCCCTCAGAAGTCGTGGGGTGTAGGTGTGAATTTGCACGTGGCCCTGTAGGCCTGCTTGGCGTTCTCGGGCGGATGCTCGAGGGCGTCGCGGCGCTCCGCCGCGACGCCCCCGCCGATCCTCGACACCTCTGCGGGCGTTACTACAAGCGCCCCCTGCCCGGGGCGCCTCCAGGATTCGCTCCAGAGCGAGAAACTGGAGGCACCTCAGGGCACGGACAACTGTAGCAACCACCGACCTTGAGGTAGGTGCAGCGCGCGGGCGCCTCGGAGCGCACGCAGGTCAGGGCGTGCTCGGCCTCGTCGGTTCTCTCGGCCCAGCGCTTCTGCTCCTCGGGCTGCCGGGCGGCGGGTTCGCCCTCGCCCTGGCCCTCTCGAGCCCAGGGGGCGGCCACCGTGGGCCCGACCGCCAGAACGGTCTCGGGCACGCCCGCGCGCTCCTCGATCTCGCCCAGCAGCGCGCGCACTGTGCCCAGCTCGAGGGCTTCGCCCTTGACGATCTGCTCGCAGTTCATGATCGCGTACTCCTTGGCGAGCTCGCTGCGGCGAGCCAATCTGGTCTGGCGCCAGTCGAGCTTGCGCGGCTTGGGGAACTTGTAGTTTTGCTATCGTGACTTGTGGCGCTCGGGATTCACAAGCACTCGTTAGCTTCCGCCTGCTTCCGCCTCGTGGCTTCAAGGTTCCGCCGTCGCTTCCGCCGCCAGCTTTCCGCCGACTTCCGCCGATTCCGCCGCCGCTTCCGCCGTTTCCGCTGGCTCCCGCTTGCTTCCGCCGCCTCAGCCGGAAGCGGGCGGAAGCTAACGAGTGCCCGTGAGCCACCGGGCTCGCCGCTGTCGATTTGGAAGCTCGCCGCGGTCTCCACCTCGCGGACGCGCAGGCGGCGCGCGTCCTCGGCGCCCGGGACTCGCCAGACGCCCTGCACTCTGCCGCGCCTGCCCTCGCGGATTCCCTCCTCGGCGACGCGGGCCATCTTGCCGTGCCAGGGGGGTCCTCGCAAGCCTCGAAGCCTGTTTTCGCCTTGGTCTTCGCTTTCTTCTTGGCGTTCTTCTCCGCTTCCGTCTTGGCCTTGAACTTTTGGAAGAGGCTCGTCTTGGCCTTCGGCGCCCTGCCTGTAAGCTTCGCCTCGGCCGCGCCTCGGCCCAGGTGCTCGAGCGCGGCCTCGCCGCCAGTCTCGGCCTTCGCGCGCCGCCGCATGCGCTGCAGCTTGCCTGGGAACTGGCCCGGGAACTTGGACGCCCACCTGCTCTTGCGCTTACTTGTTCGCGCCACTTTGGGTCGGTTCGAGGGCGCGTGGAAACTGGATCTCCTTGATCCGCTCTTCTGGCGTTCTGAGCATGTCCTTCTGCTCGTCGGCGAGCTCGAGGTCCACTTCTCGGGGCTCCAGGAGGCAGGGGTTCTCGCCCTGCTTGTAGTCCTTGGGCAAGTCGCCCCGGTGGAAGCAGTTCGCGTCGAGGGCGCCCCACTCGGACACGGGCGGCGCGCCCTCGGGCCACCTCTGCGCGCCCTCCAGGCGCTCGCTCGCCAGACTCAGCTCGACGCCGCGGGCGGGCTCGACGGAGTAGCTCCATGGCTCCACGCCCGTGACGACCTTGAGCTCGCCCTGCTCTGTCGGCCGGACCGCGAGCATTTGGTTCGCTTGCAGCCCTCGGAGCGGCGCCGCGTCCTTCTTGTTCTCGGGACAAGTAGAGGCACTCGCAGGGCCCCCAGTGGGTCGGGGACTTGCGCTGCTTCTGGGGCTCGGCCTTGGGCCCCATGGCCCAGCGCATCTCGGCCATGACCTCTCGGGTCATGGCCTCGAGCTGGCCGCGCTCGCGGGCGTCCAGCCCCTGCAGGAAGCTCGCGACGTCAGGGGCGACGGTCGCGTGGAACGCGTTCTCGAGCCACGCTCGGAGCGCCGCTGCCTCGGTCCACTGGCTCAAGAGGCAGTCTGCGAACGCGAGGCTCTGGCCGCGCTGCTGCTTGGCGAAGTCGATGGTCCAGGAAGCGACGAGCTCGTCCGTCCAGGCCCAGGGCTGCCCCCGCGCGTCGATGGCCTCGAAGACCCTCGCGCGTTCCTCCTCGGAGAGCTCGAGCAAGGCGTTGCGTCAGCCCTTGAGCAGCGCTCCTAGGGGCTGGCCTGTTCGGAAGCGCTCCGTCTCGCCGTCGCCCCGCTCGTAGGTGACGTCGCGCCGACAGGTGCCCTCCTCGAGGTTCGCGTCGCTCACTCGGCAGCGCCTTGCGCAGGGGGCGAGGAGCGCGCTGCGCTTCTCGGCGGACTTGGGCCTCCTGCTCGGGTCGAACCAGCCCTCGACTGCGGAGACGCTGACGAGGGTGATCCTGCACTTGCCCCCTGCGCTCGAGTAGGCCTGGCCCGCTTGATTTTTCATGTCGGGGCGCTCGGACAAGTGATTGGCCTTCTCGGCCTCGCAGGCTGCCTCGTCCTCGTCGGCCTGCGCCTCGCGGAACTTGCGGGGGGGGCGTCTGCGTGCGTCTCTTGGCGCCTGCAGCGAGATCTCGTGGATGCGCGCTTGCCCCCCGCCCCCGAGCTTGAGCCAGAGCGCGGCGGCGTCGACGACGACCGCGCTCGCGCTGGCTCCCCGCAGGGCGGAGGCCTCGGGGCCCCAGGCGAAGAGGCTGAGGTCATCGGATCCGCCCCTCGCTGGCAGGTGCACGAACCTACTGGAAGTAAACCAGTGATCGTAGTCGTACTAGTGGTAGTAGTAGTAGTAGT